AAGGTTTAGGACTCACCAAACCCAATGCAGTCACAGTTTCATGAAAAGACACAAGGTCAGATCAAAAGAGATAATAGCATCACTGTGCTTTAAACTGACCAATTCTGGGTGCCTCATATTTATTTATTTGACAAATACTATAATTTATTATTTTCTTCTAATGAACACCTACCATGGGCTTTTTTTTGAGCGGAGAAAATTTTTAGTTTTTTTTTTTAACATCTTTATTGGACTATAATTGCTTTACAATGGTGTGTTAGTTTCTCCTTTACAACAAAGTGAATCAGCTATACATATACATATATCCCCATATCTCCTCCCTCTTGCGTCTCCCTCCCACCCTCCCTATCCCACCCCCTAGGTGGACACAAAGCACTGAGCTGATCTCCCTGTGCCATGTGGCTGCTTCCCACTAGCTATCTATTTTACGTTTGGTAGTATATATAAGTCCATGCCACTCTCTCACTTCATCCCAGCTTCCCCTTCCCCTTCCCCGTGTCCTCAAGTCCATTCTCTACATCTGCATCTTTATTCCTGTCCTGCCCCTAGGTTCTTCATAACCATTTTTTTTTTTTAAGAATCCATATATATGTGTTAGCATACGGTATTTGTTTTTCTCTTTCTGACTTACTTCACTCTGTATGACAGACTCTAGGTCCATCCACTGGGTACCTCATATTTAAAAAGATATTGATGAACCAGTGTATGCCCGGGGAGAGATCAGGTTGGAAAAGATCCAGTAACTTACGTGAGGAATAATTTGATGTAGTTTAAAGATATTAAATATTGGGGACTTCCCTGGTGGCGCAGTGGTTGAGAGCCTGTCTGCCGATGCAGGGGACGAGGGTTCGTGCCCCGGTTCGGGAAGATCCCATATGCCGCGGAGCGGCTAGGCCCATGAGCCATGACCGCTGAGCCTGCGCGTCCGGAGCCTGTGCTCCGCAGCGGGAGAGGCCGCAACAGTGAGAGGCCTGCGTATTGCCAAAAAAAAAAAAAAAAAAAAAGATATTAAATATTGGGAAGAAAAGACTAAGGTGGATAAAGAATTGATATCCTCAATTAGCTGTGTTTTTGTTTTTTGTTTTTTTAAGTACGGGCCAACAACACGAAATTGTCAGTATCCAACCATCTTGATCTATAAAAATGCAGTTTCGGGCTTCTCTGGTGGCGCAGTGGTTGAGAGTCCGCCTGCCGATGTAGGGGACACGGGTTCGTGCCCCGGTCCGGGAGGATCCCACATGCCGCAGAGCGGCTGGGCCCGTGAGCCATGGCCGCTGAGCCTGCACGTCCGTCCGGAGCCTGTGCTCCGCAACGGGAGAGGCCACAACAGTGAGAAGCCCGCGTACCGCAAAAAAAAAAAAAAAAAAAAGCAATTTAATTTGGGTCAACCAAATAGAAGACGATGTCAACTCCTTTTGTAATGCTGCAGAGGGCAAATGAGAATCAATGGTTGAAAGAGGGAAGCAAATATTACATCAGCACAGGAAGGAATCTGTCACAATCAGATGCTCAAGAACAGAATGAGCAGCCTCACAGAGTTCTAGGTTCTGTCTCATTGAGAGAGCCCAAGCAGAGCTGGGTGACAGTCTGTTAGGAATGTTTAGCATTTTCTGCATTCAAGTGGGAGACTCTCCATGATCTGGCCTGAGCATCCAACCGCTCTACAGTACAGAGACAACACATGAGACCACTGTGACAGCCACCCCGGCCATCCTGTGTTCTCACATTGCTGTGTCTTTGTGCATGTCAGTCCCTTGCCTAGAACTGCACATCTCCTTGCTATGTACCCTGCAAATTCCTACTCATCTCTCCAGATGCAACTCAAGTGTGGCTCCACCTGAACTCTAAATGGTGTGTCATACTCTCTTTTATACCTTGTACCTTGTGCTTACTTCTACAGTGGGACTTGTTCTTTTGCAAATGGTTTGTGAACTTCTCTCTTTCCTACTGAATGTGAGCTGCCTGTGGGCCAGAAACATGTCTCTTTCATTTTCCATGTTCCCAGTGATTAGAGCAATGTCTTTGGATGCTCAATATTCACTAAATGAATGAGGCTGGATGTTTTGATTTTACATATATGTATACATAAAATAAAAATTATTACACATATGCATTTTGAATCAAATGTTAATCAAAACTAACATCCTTACTATGTGTAATACACATTGAAATTTTATTTTTAATAAATTTATTTATTCAGTTATTATTTTTGGCTTCATTGGGTCTTCATTGTTGCACGCGGGCTTTCTCTAGTTGCAGCTAGCGGGGGCTACTCTTTGTTGCGGTGCGCAGGCTTCTCATTGTGGTGGCTTCTCCTGTTGCAGAGCACAGGCTCTAGGCGCACGGGCTTCAGTAGTTGTGGCACATGGGCTCAGTAGTTGTGGCTCGCGGGCTCTAGAGCGCTGTCTCAGTAGTTGTGGCGCACGGGCTTAGTTGCTCTGCGGCATGTGGGATCTCCCCGGACCAGGACTCAAACCCATGTCCCCTGCACTGGCTGGCGGATTCTTAACCACTGCACCACCAGGAAAGTCCCACATTGATATTTTCTATTTTATTCATTTTAAAAAATGGAAGCCATGATCTAGGTTCCAAAATTAACTTGGGTTCCCAGCCTTACACCGAAACACACTCAACTACAGGGTCAACAGCAGGGATTTGAACAGAAGATATGAGAACTTGATAGAAGCTACAGGCCTTCTTGCCAGAAAGATGCATATATGGACTAAACTGACATTCAATTTCAGAGGCTTCCTGGACCCACTGAAGTCCTTCTGTACATCACAGGTTATGAGAAAGTTCCTTCTAACGCTGCAATCTTATTTTTGTGAGACGCATTAAAGTAGTCTAGGAACATTTCGGAGTTGTCCATACAGAAAGCAAAAAATTGGAAAGGAGGTACATAAAGAACAAAGAATAGAGGGAAAATTCTGAGATGGGATAGGCAAGACAGATAAATACATGTGAAAGGTAAAGGAATGGGGTACAAAATAAATCCTGGCTAAGGGTTAGGAGGAAGGGAAAGGTAGGTGCTGCTAGGCCAGGGTTTTAGGCCTGTGGAATCTGACATTCTTTCCAGACAATGGAGCTTGGGGTTCCAGCCCTGTAGCTTTCTTCTCCCCTCCCTATGGCTCACTATTCCTCCCTCCCATTTTTAGGCAGCCCTTATGGAAACTCTGAAACTCTTTTTCTCTTTTCTTCCAGATGGGAAGCTCTGGCAGAAAGAATGTTTTGGCCTGTGTGCAATGACTCCATTCTCTCTGCCAAGGGATAAAGCTGAAATCTGCTTTCTTGGAAACCAGCTCATGTCTTTAGGAAGCATGACCCTAGTTAGGGAGCAACTGGGACCTTTGCGTACAGGGGAGATAAGAAAATAATTTTCAGCATCCACTAGTATGGTGACACACAAGGATAGTAGGATGTGACCACCAACAAATGATTTAAAAATGGAATCTCCTGTCTCTAAGATCTAAGCTCACACAGACTACTACATTGGGCTTCTTTGAATCTTAAATAACTCTAAAGTGTTTTCAACAATCTGTCAGGGAGGCAACAGACATGCAGCTCACATTTTCACAGGACAAACAGTGAAAGGGACATGTATGAGGTCTAGAAGCATAATACAATTGACTTCCTATGGAGCCCTCAGGAATCTGGAGATTTTAAGAACTTTTGTGAGGTCCAGGGCTTCCCTGGTGGCGTAGTGGTTGAGAGTCTGTCTGCCGATGCAGGGGACACGGGTTCGTGCCCCAGTCCGGGAAGATCCCACATGCCGCGGAACGGCTGAGCCTATGGGCCATGGCCACTGAGCCTGCGCGTCCGGAGCCTGTGCTCCGCAACGGGAGAGGCCACAACAGTGAGAGGCCCGCGTACCGCAAAAAAAAAAAAAAAAAAAGAACTTTTGTGAGGTCCAGAAAACTCGGAACATTACTATAGTCCACAACTAGACTGAGGTAAAGAGAATGGAATTTGGGGTGGGGTTAGGTAACCTGAGTTAGTCCCTAGATAGGCCCCTGACTCACTATGTGATAATGGCTGGTCACTTCCTGGCTCAGTGTTCCAGTCCCCGTCCACCCTTTCCCTGCCCGAGAGAAATAAAACCACAACTTTATTCTTTCTTGAGAAAGTTAACCATGATTGTTTCTATAAAGCTATCTGGAAAACAGCTGATCTCTTAGGGCAGCATTATGAGATGATTTTGTTCATTTTATAACCAGTGTAACCTCCTGGGTGGTATATGAAGCCATGAAGGTGGCAAACGTCTTATTTGTTGTTGAGATCCTCACATGGGCATGGAATAAATAAGTGGTCTGCTTGCCTCTTCTGCCTCTTCTGTCTTTTGGGATGACACTGTTGTGTAGTAAAGCCCTCTGGAGAGAGATCTGGGAGATAACTGGGTAACACCCAACTAAGTCAGGGAATGAGTCAGGGCTCAAGGACTCGATACCAACCTCTCCCACTCCTGCCAGGAAACCTCTGGGGTGAGACAGAGATGAGAGAGGAGCCGAGGGGCGGGCCTCACAGCAGCCTGCCCTGGGGCCTCTGACTCGTGGTTTCACCCTGGTTTGCCCTGCAGCTGTAACGTGTCTGCTGACACGCAAGCCCTGACATGCTCGTCCTCCCCCTTTCCCAAACTACTGCTCAGTCTCAGAACTGTCATACAGAGTGAAGTAAGTCAGAAGGAGAAAAACAAATATCGTATGTTAACACGTATATGTTGAATCTAGAAAAATGGTACAGATGAACTGGTTTGCAAGGCAGAAATAGAGACACAGATGCAGAGAACTAACGTATGGACACCAAGGGGGAAAAGCCAGGGGGGTGGGGGTGGGATGAATCAGGAGATTGGGATTGACATGTATACACTAATATGTATAAAATGGATAACTAATAAGAACCTGCTGTACAAAAAAATTAAATTCAAAAATAAAAAAGAAAACGCAGGGCAAAATACAAAGGACTTTTTGTCAAGGAGGTGACGAGGAAGTAGAAACTGAACTTACCACTGAGGAAACCAGGATAAGGGAAGGGCAGAAGAGTGCCATGGCTGGGCTGACACAGAGAACAGGCTGAGCAGGACCGAGCAGCACTAGCCTGGAATCCTGTAAGACTCAAGAGCAAAATGGCCAAAAGTCACATTTCTTGTGTGGAGGTACTCAGTTCTCACAAATCCGTCAAAACCATTCCCAGTTTGTGGCAATTCTGAGAAGTCTCCCCTAGTGAAAAAACAATTTGAGGCACCTACCGTGTACCAGTCATATGTTTTCACATAGGAGTTCACTTAGTGCTTACAACAGTCCTACAAGGTAAGTTTTATTATCCCCATTTCACAGATGGGTAGACTGGGCCTCAAAAGACTTAAGGAATTTGCCCATAGAGTTTGGACCTGGCCAGTTGGATTCCCCTATACCAAGCTGCCTTTGATTTGAAGTCAAATCAAATCAAAATAATGTCAAAATAGTAGAGACTTCTTAAGCCTGCCAGGACCAGTAAGGAGCAGACCAGGTAAGGAACAATGAATGGAGACCCCTAAATCTCTGAACGTAGGTACTTAAAAACCCTGGAATTGCTGGGTTTGCATAGGCGTCTATGCAATCTGAGATCCCAGTGAAACCTTGGTACCCTCTAGTGGAAGCTTCCTGCATTCACACAGCTTTCCTGGCTTCAACCGCGAAGAGCTGGAAAGGAAGCCCTCACCCAGCCACTGGAGAGCATCCCCAAAGAATGGCCAACTGGAAGATACATGTTTGTATGTCAGGGCCCATGGAGGGTAGAGGAAAGAATACAGACCAGAGGGAAGGTGTGCTGAGCCATTGGTTCACAAGGGTCCCCAAAGGGAGTCCTTGTTAGGCCTTTGTGCATTATTAATAGGAGCTCAATACACATCAATGGGGGCTGTAGGTTTTTAGGGCTCAAGAGAGTGATTTTTTTTTTAATGGGGGAAATTAGTGATCAGAGATGCAAAGTGACTCCCAAGGCCACAAGGAAGTCAATGTCAGCAATGGTGAGATTAGAACCCATGTCTCCTGCCTCCCAAACCAGAGTTCTTCCCATTGTATCACACTTCCCATTTTTTGGGAACCCAGCCTATGAGAACAAGCTCCCAGGCTCCTGAATCTCATGCCTACAACCCTGCAGGCATTCCTGGAGCTTCTTCCCCAAGTTCCCAGTGCCAAGATGTCAGATTTATTTCTGTCTCCCTCCTCCCGCAGAGGTAATCCCTGGGAATGGAAGTGGGTTAGAAACAGATTACTCTGATCCAGGGGCTTTGTTTTCTCCTCCCTGAACGTGGTGGGGTGGGGGAGGGCCCGGGGTGAGGGAGAGGGGAAGTCACAAATAGCCTGAAATTCCCTTTTAGGATTATCACTTGATTTCGGAGCAAGAAGCGGGGAGGGATTAGTTCTAGACCTAGCTTGAACAGCGGGGTGCATGGGCTTCTTTTCTGGCTGAGCCAGGATGAGCAATATCTCTTCCTTAACATACCTTTAGAAAAAAGAGGCTGAAGCAGGCAGCAAAGGATAAAGGAAAAAGCCTTTGTCTTCATCAGCAGGGATGAATGCAAGGATGGATGAGACAGAAGAGCAGCTAGAAGAAAGTCATGCAGCACAGAAATAAGGAATCACTTTTGGGCATGGAAACAACCTTCATTTCAATGGTTTTAACTTTAACAGAGCTGAGAACTGCTCCCTAGAGGAAAAGAGCTAACACACATAGGGCTTCCTGAGGATCTCCAATTCATATCCAGGTTATGGGCTCTTGTGCTTTAGGAACACTGCACTGGGGTGGACTCTGGGACTGCCAATGTTACCTGTGTCCGGCATAAAGAGCAGACACTTACTAGGACTCTGCTAGGCTCCATATATCACTTCCACGGCTATCATGGGGCTTGGAAGCAGTTACCATAACTAACCAGAGTGGGAACATGTATAAATTCATTTAACGACTTAGTAACAATTCTATGAGTTAGGTACTCAATTACCCCTTCTCTATGGTGAGGAAAAGAAGTGGAGCTAAGATGTACACTCAGGCACCACTATGTGAGAGTCATAGATAGTCAACTCTCCCAGTGACAAAGAAGCTCTGCTAACATTGTTAGCTAAAGATCAGTTGAGAATATTTCTTAGAAAGTCAGAATTCTTGGTTTCTTCTATGTCACCTTATCTTGGACAATTCACTTAACTTCCTTTGCTCTTCACGCGCTCTCTCAAGGGAGGGAAGTACAACATAAACACATGGCAAGCCTATCACTAGCTTCAATCGAAGTATCATATTGTTTACGGTAATCAATAAACATACTGTAATCAGATTCTTCCAATTCTCCAGAGGGATCTTCCGTGTTCAAATCAACAGTGCTTCTCCTAGAATGTAGACTACCAGGCAGAATTTCAGAAGTTCCAATATTTGATATCATCTGCCACTGAGAGGGAAAAAAATCCAAATACAGTACATATCCCACTGCTCATGGGATATCCCATTTTCTTTGGATCCATTTAGAAATTTCAATAAGACAAGTGATTCCAGGAACCCCCCGTATTTGGGGAAACAGGAAATCAACTTTGCCCTCTGCCTCATCATATTTTATCTGGGATTCTACTGATCCACTTATTTTTTCCCCCCATGATCATTTATTGAATAAATATTTGAGTGTCTACTATGTGCAAGACTGTTTTTTTGCAAGGTTAAGCCCCTAACCACCTTATTCCTTCCTCTAGTTACACAATGAGTTTCCTTCTCTTACTCTTACTTTGCTTTTTCTGAAATGTGAACTACTTGGGTTGTAGGATTACGAAATATCCTTTTCGTGTTAACTTCCCCAGGTAGACAACTCCCAATTTTCCATGGAGTTAATGAGATAGGAAGATAATACGAATTTTCCAAAACAGCAGCTAATAAAACACACTTATAATTCATCTCAGAATGAATTAAACAAGATTGACTTCCCTTATTATTTCATCCAGGTTGATATGGAACAAGTTTGCATTCCCTGAGAAGCTGACCAGAAGGCAGGCAGAGATGATCTGGGATGTGTTGGCTACCATGTGAGGCAAACATAAAACTCAACAGTGAAGCAGATAATTCCAGAAAGACTATATCAATGTTCTGTATTAATAACCACTCATCATGGATTGGGGTTTCCCCACTTTGTCAGGAAAACCAGTAAAAAAAAAAAGTTCATGTTTTATTTTCTGGGGCATAGAGTAGATTGACAAGACTCTGTTGAGAAATAATTAGATACATCTTGGGACTTCCCTGGTGGTCCAGCGGTGAAGATTCCGCACTTGCAATGCAAAGGGCACGGGGTTCAATCCCCAGTTGGGGAACTAAGATCTCACATGTCGCACAGCGTGGCCAAGAAAATGTTAAAAAAAGTTAAAATTCAAAAAAAAGAGAGGGCTTCCCTGATGGCGCAGTGGTTGAGAGTCCGCCTGCCGATGCAGGGGACACGGGTTCGTGCCCCAGTCCAGGAAGATCCCACGTGCTGCGGAGCGGCTGGGCCCGTGAGCCATGGCCGCTGAGCCTGCGCGTCCGGAGCCTGTGCTCCGCAACGGGAGAGGGCACAACAGTGAGAGGCCCGCGTAGTGCAAAAAAAAAAAAAAAGAGAGAGAGAAATAATTAAATATATCTCATTTAAATGCTTAATATATATTCTTTAATTATCACATATGTATAACACCTAATTTCATGTCACTATTAATGTATCATGCTATAGATTCTATGCTATGGCTAGGACTTGTGGGGGAATTCTTACCCTTGAAGAATATACAGGGACTTCCCTGGCAGTCCAGTGGTTAAGACTCTGTGCCCCCACTACAGGGGGTGCAGGTTCAATCCTCAGTTGGGGAATTAAGATCCCACGTGATGCCCTGCGCAGCCAAAAAAAAAAAAAGGAAAAAAAAATCAATGTGTGTGTGTGTGTGTACACACACAGTATAGTTAAAAAGTCAAGATTTAAGACATGAGATCCCTAAACTCAAGAGTAATCTCTCTTTCCTTTGATAGTCCTTAGCATTTTATTTGAACCTTAGTAGCTATTCTATTTCAACCTGTACAGCCCATAGCTCTCAACTCACTGCAAAATACCACAGGTAAATGCTCAATAAACGTTGACAGAATGAGAAAAATCCCAAGGGTACGTATGAAAAGTGTTTGTCATTCAACGATGATTACAGCACTGGATTTTCCAGGATGACGCCAACAACATGAATTCTTTAACCACTTAATGTGAAGCAATACAGCGTAGTATTCAGTGCATGGGTTCTGGAGTTTGCTTGAACCTGAATCCCAGTTCTGCCAGTTATTAGCCGTGCGACCTTAAATAAATTACGTACTTAATTTCTATGCAACATCATATGTAAAAGGAGCATATTGCTCGTTTGTGGTGAAGACTGAGTTAATATATGTAAAAAGTTTAGAAAGATGCCTGGCACCCGGTAAACAATTTCTAAGTATAAGCTATTTTTTGTTAATAAAAATATTATTGTGCCTCATATTATTATGCCTCTGTCCCAAAATGGCAAACAGATAAATGCTTTTGTCAGTCCACGTGTCTTTTGCTTCAATAAACATAGTAGTCATTAATTTCCTTAATTTGCTAGTAAGAAAGAATTCTTCATACGGTACAGATTGGTAAAACTAGACCTCCGGATTAAGGTTACCCAGAATATCGAGGTCGGATACAGACCCAGACACTAGTCATTTTTGCCCCTTCTAGGATCCAAGAAGGCACTGAAGAAAAATAGTCATCTCAGAAGGGAAACATCTTTTCGTTCACAAGGTGCAGCAACGTCCCACTCTTACTCGAATGCGGTAACTCCTGGCAGCCAGGAAGCCCGGCGCGCAGGCGCAGCTTCGGCTGCACGCCCCGCCTGGCGCGTGACAACCGTGCTTCCACCCTACCCCCAACGCTGTTTTACTGCGCATGTGCAGCCCAACTCCCCCCACACCCCCACCACCACCCCGGACGTGTACGTGCGCGTTCGCGCCGCTCACACTTCGGCGGCGGGCGCGTGCCCTGGAAAATTCCACTCCCGAGCTAGCTCCGCCCTATGCACCTCCTTTCCGGCCCAAGGCTTTTTACTGTCTCCATCCCGGCTGCCTTTGCGTGAGCAAAATGGCAGTCCCTGTGCCGCGGGGTTTGTCTCGCTTATCCAGGGCTTTAGGATGGTGGTCTCGGCAGGTGGGTAGGGACGGGGTAGATAGGAGTCTAGGGGCTGGAGGGGAACAGAGTGGAGGGAAATACTCGCTTTGCAGTTGTCCTTCGTGAACTTGGACGTTACAGGTCGTACCTAGGCTAGGGAAGAGTTGAGGTAGACGAGACATAACTACTTAACTATGTGGCTGAGTGGGGAGAGCCTTGGTAGGGCCATGAGAGCGGGCAAGTTCTCGGGGATTAAGTTTCTCCGGTTTGTTCTGGGTCTGACTGGCCTGGGGGTGTTAAAGGGGAAGAAGTTATGGTTGGAAGGTGCGTTCGCTTCCCGTTGATTTTTATAAATGTCCTTAATTGAACAGTAGCTGTAAAGAAGGGAGTCTCGTACCTGCCTGAACAAACCTCGTGGTCAGAGAGAAAGAGACCTGGCCTTTGAAGAGCTTATTGATCAGTTGGGAGCTAGAACGACAGAATAAAGTTTACTTTGAGGCTCCCAATAGAATGAGCAGAATGGAATCTGAGTAAATGTAGAGGAGATGCCAAGAAGAGGACTTTTCTTCTGCTCATTTCAGTATTGGGTTGGTGTTTAAGTTCCCCATCAGACTGAGCGTTCTTTGAAAGCAGAAGCCTTGCTTTCATTAACTCTGCATCTCTAGGAGTTGGCACAGTCCTATACTATGGAAAGTACTAAATAAAGGAAAGCCTTTAGTAAACGTTGAATGGTGTTAGTAAAAGTTGCTTACTGGCTTTTAGTAAGAGACACCATAATTGTTAAGATAGTTGTGCATTTTCCCCCATGATATGTGGCTTTGTAATTGTTCCTAAGGCATTCTTTGGATGTGCCCATTCTATCTTTGCTTACAGTTTGTACAAGATTGATTTTTTTCCAGGTTACCTAACCTTTTTCTACCATCCTCCAGCCAGTCCTGGTGACTCAGTCCACAGCAGTATTTCCAGTGAGAACTAAAAAACGTTTCACACCCCCTACTTATCAACCCAAATATAAATCAGAAAAGGAGTTTGTAGAATATGCCCGGAAAGCAGGACTGGTCATTCCTCCAGAACGTTTGGAGCGTCCCATACATCTGGCCTGTACAGGTGAGACATGGTATTTCTGAGACCCTGACCCAATCCCCTTCTGTCAGAGATCTTGGAAAGTGGAATGATTTGGAGTATGAATGATAGCATTTAATTAACTACAAAATCGGTTCAGTCTCAATAATTTGTATACGTTATATTTCATGAGGTCATCTTTGATCTTGTTTTCACACTGTTCCTAGGAGACCAGGGTAAAATTTCTCCATTCTGTACAAGAAGCAGCTGAGGCTCTAAGAGAAGGCTGAAATGATCTTATTCTACTTTTTCTAATGCAACACGATTCCCTTTACATGGAAGTCTATTTTGTTAGTGTATTTTGTATCCAGGAGCCCTCCCAATTTTGTATGACCTCAGGATGACTTTTTCTCAATCTTTCAATGCTTTTTTAGTTTTCTCCGTCTCTCTTTACAGCTGGTATCTTTGACGCCTATGTTCCTCCTGAGGGTGATGCCCGAGTGTCATCTCTTTCTAAGGAAGGACTGGCACAGAGAACTGAGCGATTGAAGAAGAATGTGGCATCACAATTATCGTAGGTGTCTGAGACAGCTGGGAGTCAGTATTAGAACGAAAATTTCTTGTTGCTGCTTAATCCAGAGAGGTCATCTTGGGTTAATTGTGTTGCCTGTAACTCCCTTGATAACTTGACAGTATATTCTTTCTCTGTAATAGAGCTAATGTATAATATGGGCATCTCAACCTTGATTGTTCGTTTTTGTCACATCATTTAGGAAGTTCACATTGAAGTTTGTAGGACACTTTCTGGATCACATATTTTAAAATTTAAAGTAATAGTAAGAGAAAGCATATTTTTATGAGAAATACCTTAGAGTTTAAACTTAAGAGAGTAAGAAAAGCCAAAAAGGCTTAAAAAGACAGACGTGTTCTGGGGAGCTAACTGGGCTTTAGTTAAGGAGCAGAGCCAAAACTTTCTTCTTAAAGAGACTTTCAGTATCTGTCACTCTAGCTCTAACTGTATCTAAATGATAGGTTCTTAGGGTCATATATAGATTTCTATGCACAAGTATACTGAGTCAGTGTTAATTCTTCATGTGGCCATAACCTATTTCTCTAAATACAGATCTTATCACATCAACTCTTCTGTCTCAGACTCCTTTGTGGCTCCCTGTTATCTGAACAATAAAATCCAAATTTCTTCAGTGGTATTCAGGGCTTTTTATAATTTGTCTCTTGCCTTCCTCTCCACCATCATCTCCTTATTCCATTTTTCTCATCCTAAACTTTAACCTTTCCAAACTGATTGCCAGTTCCTTGACAAATGTTGTGCTGTGTCTCTTTGCACATCCTTTCCTTTGCCTGAAAAATGTCTTTTTCTCTCAAGTATTGTGTCTGCTTTTTTTTTTTTAATTAATTAATTAATTTTTATTTTTGGCTGTTTTGGGTCTTTGTTGCTGTGCGCGGGCTTTCTCTAGTTGTGGTGAGCAGGGGCTACTCTTCGTTGCGGTGCGGGGGCTTCTCATTGTGGTTGCTTCTCTTGTTGCGGAGCGTGGGCTCTAGGCGTGCGGGCTTCAGTAGTTGTGGCATGTGGGCTCAGTGGTTGGCGGTGCACGGGCTTAGTTGCTCCATGGCATGTGGGATCTTCCCGGACCAGGGCTCGAACCCGTGTCCCCTGCATTGGCAGGTGGATTCTTAACCACTGCGCCACCAGGGAAGTCTCACTTTTTTTTTTTAATAAGAAACTCCCAATCCTTCCCTCCCCCAGCCCCTTTGGCAACCACGAGTCTGTTCTCTATGTCTGTGAGTCTTTCATAGATATGTTCATTTGTGTGTGTGTGTGTTTTTTTTTTTTTTTGGCTACACCACGCAGCATGTGGAATCTGAGTTTGCTGACCAGGGATCAAACCTGTGCCCTCTGCAGTGGGAGCGCAAAGTCTTAACCACTGGACCGCCAGGGAAGTCCCTGTGTTGTATTTTAGATTCCACATATAAGTGATATCATATGGTATTTGTCTTTCTCTTTCTGACTTACTTCGCTAAGTATGATAATCTCTGTCTGCTTTTAAGCCTTCTCTGACTCTTTTTGGAGCTGCCTTTGTTATAATTGTAACTGTATGCATATTCTTACTACTTCTGATAACTCTGTATTGTGATGATTTCCTCTCATGTATTTCTCTCCTAGCCTAAGAGCTGTTTGGTGGAAGGTTCATGATGATGATGAACAGAACACAGGTGGTTTTATTATGGAGTTATTATCTAGGAGAGGAAACCAATTATTAAATACTGATTGTATACAAATAATTACAGATACGGTGAAGTATGAGTGCTGTGGGAACATATGGCAGGGAAAGATAACTTGGTCTGGGAGTTAAAGGTAAGCTTCCCTAAGGAAATGACATTTAAAGCTGGGACCTAAAGGGTTGCTTGGAGTTAGCTGAGTAGAGGGGTATAGTGAGGAATAGCATTCTAGGGAGACAAAACAGTACAAGCAAGGCTCCGAGTAGAAAAGTGCAAAGGAGTGGATTTTATCACATGCTTTTTCCCTGATTGTTGAGATGATCATGTGATACTTGTCCTTTATTCTATTGATATGGTAT